AAAAAAAAAAAAAAAAAAGGAATCCATTAATAAAAATCTCAACTTTTTCATTAAAAAAAGGAACGAGAGAGAGTAATTTTACAAGTTTGTGATTACATTAACGAGACAATCATGGAACTGTAGGCGCATAACAGAGGCAGCGCTTCTAATTTCTCTGGCCATGGCCTGCCTGAGGACGCCCCGCGCGATGGCCTCCGCCTCCGGGCAGGTCTCCGAGTAGAAGCCAGGGCGGAGGGCCACCGGCGGCGAGGCGGATACGGCGGCGGGGAGGAGGAGGAGGAGAAGGAAGGGAAACAAGGGGGCCATACCCATACTTTTCTCGAGTAGTGTACTCTGGATATGCGTCACTACACTTACTTTTGTGTGTGGGCAGCAAAGAGTGAAAAGTTTGGCAATTTTTGGTGGGGCCCACAATCCTCGTTTTCTGTTTCTTCAGCGTTTCACGGGTTGGGCCGTTGGGGAGCAGCAGGTTGAGTGGAGTCCAACGTGGGTATTGTTTTCTTCTGTTCAAACACGTCTTATTCAATTGTTTATAAACAAATTTCAAGTATTGATTTTCTTGTTTCTTTTAGGGGTACACAAAGTTCTATTAACCGAGTCGAACAAATCGAAACCGAAAATTCGGTTTGGACTGAAACCTAAACTGAATATTTAGTTCGGTTTTTTGTTTACATTTTCTCAAAATTTTGGTTTTCGGGTCTGTTTGGATAATTGTGATCGGTTAACCGAACCGAAAATAAAACCGATGTATACACATATATATACATGCTTTTATTTATACATATAAGTTATAAAAGCATTAATTTGTTTCAATGATTGATGATTTTCAAGCTTCAATAACCCCTAAAATAGCTCAAACATTAATTTGCACTCAAGATTGACTTCTTCATAAACCAAGTCACAGTTTCGGTTCCAAGATCTTCCTTTGAGGAGAATTTTGAATTTATTGAGAAGATTAAACAAGGTGCTAAAAATTATTATTTTTTTGTTCGGATAAAACATCAATTTTTTTTTTCGGTTAAAAATTTAAAATCTATTGAGAAGATTAATTATTTATTGCGACTAACCAAAAAAGAATCGAATCGACAGTTGGATTTTCGGTTAAAAACCAAACTGAATCGTAAATTTCGGTTCGATTTTTGGTTATGATAACGGACAAACTGAATTTTCGGTTAACCGAAAATTCGGTCGATTCGGTTCGATTTCAACCAAATGAGCAGCTCTAGTTTCTTGAGTTGAGAACATGATCCTCAAGATTTTTTTGATGAGCTTTTGAATTTTAGGCTTAGTTTGTTATTATAATAAAATGAGTTGGAATGAACTTTTGTTAATGATTTTCAATTGAATTGATAGCGTAATTTGAGTTTGAGCACTTGTTTGTTTAGTTTGATTATTTAGATTGTGTTTTGGTGTGGGAGTATTGTGAAGGGAAATGGTGAGACAGAGTTTGTTGTGGGTGGTTGTGGTATGCAAATTGTTACATGAGACGAGGAATTTGAATAATTAGCAGTTAGCTATCTCCCTTTAGATCTTTGAAATACTAGCAAATTAGAGATACTTGGCCCAAGAGGGTCCTCGAGTCCAAAGTCTCCCGAGTAGAAACCCAAATATCCACAAATTTTCTCTTCATGCCCTAGTTGCTCGTCACTCTCGTGTGAGGCTCTTCTCCGGCGGGCTTAGCTCTCCCTAATTCCGGCTACCATCTGTCTCTTCCTGCGCCTGGCGGCGTGGTTGTGGCATTCTTCCGTCTCCACCTCCTCGAGTGGTTCCGATTTCGCTCCGATTGCCAGGCAGACGAGGAAAGGCGGGCAGCACTAGCGGCTATTGTCCGGCGGACGCCGCGGGCGTCCTTGCGGCCGTCGATGGCGGCGGTCTGCCCGTGGTTTTCCCCTTGCCCGACCTTCCCTAGTGTTTGGAAGATAGGATCCTCCGGCAGTGGTTGTGCGGTGATGCGGCGGCTCCGGCGTATGCGTGGGGAGGTTGTGGAGTGGTCCGACCAGGTTTGGGTTAGTGGAGTACTGGGAGGGGCTGTCGAGTTTTGTGGTCCGGGTCTGGTTAGCCCATTATGGGAGTTTTCTAGATTGTTTGGTGGATCTCGTGGCTTTTCTCGGTAGTTCGCGATGGGTGTTTGCCCAGGGTGTGGTGGTGTTGGGCTTCTCGTCCGGTGGGGAGGACTTTAGTTTTTTAGCTTTTGTTTGTATTAGTTTTGTTGATTTTGGTTTCATGTTTGTTTAAGTATTGGTAGTGTGCGTTTGTGTTTTTCTCCTGTCGGGGATGTTAGAGTTATGTACTGAAAGCTTGACTTTGGATGATATTACACTTTTACCCTTTATGAATGAGAAACATGTATAATTAAACAAGCTCTACGTTCTATTGTTTTGCATTAGATAGTGTGGGTCGTCATCGGGCGAACCGAAGATCATTCTATCAGTTACTCGCGACACAGGAATAAGTGGTTCACAACCTAGATGGACATGAACACCCATCGTGAACTGTTGTAGTGTCAACCGTACAGTTTGTCTTGACTGATTAGTTGCACTAGTACATTTATGTATTGAACAGGTTTCCAGAGAGGAGCAGTTCGTTTTACACTGATCGTCGTAAACGAACTAGGCCTCGGTTAATTACTGTGTGCTCTTAACCCGTAAGATACAAACATGCATATATGTGTAGTACTTATTACTTTGATTCACATGGGTGAGGCTTAGTGAACTGGGCCAATAGACCCGTTATCTTGGGTAATATTGCTGCATGTAGGATGTGCTGTTAGGATATTTACAGTCACCATGTGCGTTAGTTTGATGATGTCCCCAGAGTGAGTTCATGAAGGATTATCATGCTAAATCCTGCAGGTGGATTAAATTTCAGGCATAGTAATAATGTGATGAACGAGCGCTAGCTTCAGTGAAATAATAATAAATTAATTAATTCTTGATTGTCAGTAATCGAATTAATTAATGGACATTATGTCTTAAAGATGGGGAGATAAATTGAGTAATTATTATTGGAGTCTCATTTGTAAATTGGGCTAGGAAAAGAGAGTGCAATAATATTATGTAGGTGACCCATTCAATATAATTTAATTAATTAAAATAAGTGGTTTGGTCCACAAGTATTTTAATTAATTAAGAAGCCCTTCTCCTAATTTCATAAGGGTCCCCACTGTAGCTCTATATATACATCATTAACTTCATGGGAAGAGAATGCAATTCCAAAACTCGCGAAACACGCCCCACGCCATCTTCTCTCTCAGTTTTCATTCGAACTTTATCTTCTTTTTGTTGTTCCACCGTACCAGATTAAGAGGTGTTTGAGACATACAGTAGAAAATTTGTAGGTAAACCGAGATGGAATATATTTTATCGTACAGAACTAACCGGAGGTCCGATCAAGTCGTTGCAGCATACCCAGACGACCGTCTCGACGAGAGCTTTCCAGCGCCGCCGAGATCGCCGACGTCTAACGCCGCACGCGCCCTCACGCGCCACCGGAAGGTCCCAGGACTGCAAGCTTGTTTTCATCCGTTTTGCACCCGTTTGATCCGGTTTTCAATCCGATCTTGTTCGTGCAACCACGTGATTTGCAGTCACCTATTCATTGGTGTGTTGTGTACG